AATATGAATCTATCTACAATCTTCAAAAGCAATCACCCAGCTTAACCAGCACCATTTGTTGAAGATGGTACCATTTCTCCAATTTATATTTTTGAATTCTTTGTCAAAAATCAGGTGCCCATAGTTGTGTGGACTTGTGTCTGGGTCTTCAACTTGATTCCATTGATCAATGTGTCTGTTCTTAAGCCAATACCATGCTATTTTTATTACTCTTTAGTACAATTTGAGATTGGAGATAGTGATACCTCCAGCAGTTCTTTTATTATTCAGCACATTTTTAGGTGTCCTTGGGTTTTGTTTTGTGTGTGTGTGTGTGTGTGTGTATGTGTATTTTCCATATAAGCTGAAAACTGTCCTTTCAATGTCTCTGAAATATTGTGATGGAATTTTGGTGGAGATTGTGTTGAATCTGTAAATTGCTTTTGGTAGGATGGCCAGTTTCACTATATTAAACCTACCTATCCATGAGCATGGGAGAGCTTTCCATCTCTTCCATTTCTTTTATTGATATCTTAGAGTCTTTACTATACAAGTCTTTTACTTTCTTGGTTAGCGTTACCCCAAGATGTTTTCAGTTATTGAGGCTATTGTAAAAGGTGTCATTTCCATTTGTCATTTGCATACAGGAAGGCTGTTGATTTTTGGAATTAACCTTGTATCCTGCTACTTTACTGAAAATGTTTATTAGCTATTAGATTTCAAGTACTATACTGAACAAGTGTGGAGACAGTGAACATCCCTGTCTTGTTCTGATTTTACTAAAAATGCTTTGAATTTCTCATTTGGGGTGACAATCATTGTAGGCTTGCTGCAAATTGCATTTATTATGTTGAGGTAATCCCTTGTGTCCCTACTCTCTCCAGGATTTTTATCACAAAGGGATGCTGGGTTTTGTCAAAAGCCTTTTCTGCCTCTAATGAGATGATCATGTGGATAAATAGTCATTCAGCCTTTTATCTGGTGGATTACATTTATCTACTTATATATGTTGAATCATCTGTCCATCTCTGGGATGAGCCTACTTAACCAAGACTATTTGATTATGGTGGATAATCTTTTTCTGTGTTCTTGAATTCAGTTTGCAAGTATTTTATTGAGAAATTTTACACCAATGTTCAGAGACATTGGTCTATAATTTTATTTGTTGAGTTTTACGTGATTTGGGTAAAAGGGCCTCATAAAAGAATTAGAAAATATTCCTTCAGTTTTTGTTTTGTAGCATAATTTGAGGAATATTTTTAATTCTTCTTTCAAGATTGGGTAGAATTCTGGCCCTGGGTTTGTTTTTTCTTTTGGTTTGGCTTGGTTTGTTTTTTGTTTTGTTTTATTTTTGTTTTGGGCTGGGAGACTTAACCTGCTTCTATTTCACTAGGGGTTATGTGTCTGCTTAAATTGCTTATCTTACATTGATTTAACTTTGGTAGATCATATGTCCCAAGAAATTTAACCTTTTATGTTTTCCAGTTTAGTGGAGTAAAGGTTTTTAAAGTATGTCTTTATGATTGTCTGGATTTCCTTGGTGACTATTGTAATGTCATGATTTTCACATCTAATTTTATTAGTTTGGATCTTCTCTCTTTGTCTTTTAGTTAATTTTGGCTAAGGATTTGTCAGTCTTACTAATTTTCTCAAACAACTATTAATTTCATTTATTCTTTTTATGTTTTGTTTGCTTCTATTTCATTTATTTTAGCTCTGAGGTTTATCATTTCTGGCTATCTGCTCTTTGGGGGTTGTTATTTCCTCTTGCTGTTCTAGAGCTTTCAGGAGTGCCACTAACCTGTTAATATGAGGGCATGTGCAAAGCCTATCCCAGAACTGAGAAAATGCAGTGGGGGATGGGGAAGGTGAAAAACAAATCAAATACAAAAAACTGAATTTCCTTTGGCTACATCTTCTCTAAGCAGTATTAAAAATTATGTGCCTACCTTACTTCTATGTATGTGATTTTATTTCCAGCATGTCATAAAACGATAAACACTTCTGCCACATTCAGAATGACTTTCGATCCTTCTTATACTTTAAACAGAGCCTATGTTTCATAAACACATTAGGTAATGAGCATATTTCCTCTTCCATTCGGTTTCTTTATGGAGACATCGGGGTTGGCTATTATTAAAGCTTGAAGCTGGGGGAGACATTTAAACTGGACTTCATGACACATTTTAGCCAACTCACAAACATTTGCTCCTAGGAATCCACACCTGCTTTGGAGCTGGTGGAGCTAGATGCTGCAGACAACACTAGGCAATGATCCCAGCACAGTGTCATCTGAGGGCACTTTTACCATCTACCTTAATAAAAACCATCAGTGATTGATGATGAGGACTTTCATCTCAGTCTTATTGTGCTGTTAGTCATATATTAGCCATATATGTAGAGTTGTTCTCTGCAGCATAACTCCCGAGATTACAAATCATATCTAAGACAATATTATAATTTAGCAAAGACTCAAGGGAGTAGAGATGGAACTGAGCAAAAAAAAAAAAAAAAATACAACTTAATAAACTGCATCTCCTTTAAAGTCCTGTGTGTTGGATATTTGTAGAAATGTGTAGTAAAAGCTGTCAGAATATTAGGGAATGATCATGTTTTACAAAAGCATTTACTGGGGAATAATTTTGTAAAGTGTAGGCACTGATAAGTGTCCCGAGACAACACAAGATTGAAATCAAAACCATGACTCAGTATCATGCAGTATATATCATCTTAAATATGTGTTGTATTCTAGATTTTACAGCAGGCATTAATTTTATATATGTATGTGAAGTGTGGGAAGATATATGTGGCAGATTTACCTGATATAATCTTAGCCCTTTAGAAGAACCCCAAAATTTTCTGAAAAACAGTTTATTTCTCTCACATTATCAGCAAATTTTCTTCATTTGTGAACTTACTTTTTACTTGAAAAACTATAGTGCAATGTTCCCACGAACATGACCAGAAAATTCTTGGTCAAAGGCATACTTCAGATGATCGTGTGGATGACCTGGGGTAATTTTATTCTAATGACTTCCCCCCACTTTTCTTGTTTTTTGTTTGTTTGTTTTAAGACTTCAGTCTTTACATATATACATTCATCCAAGTTATAAAAAAACTACAATTTTCATCAAAATTAGAAAGTTGTCTTGTATTGTTGTAACTTTACGCATTTAAGGTAGATATGTGATACCTGGGGAACAAACCAAGATACTATATCACAGACGAGTCTGGACTGTGGGTGCCCAGAAAGATGGCTGTACTCTATCACGGCACAAGGACAGAGTTCAAAGCTGTCAGCAAGTCACAAGACCTAAAGGTCAAAGGTGTGGCTACAGAAGGATGTTTCGGCCCTCTTAGTCTAAATAACAACAGACCTGAATCTGAGGTATGGCTACTCCTGACCTCAAGGCTAGGGAACAAGAACTTAGAGCTAAGGTGTAGTTATTGGACCCTTGGAATGAGTGAGGATGAAAAGTCTGTGTGTTCCATACACATGATACTGTGTTCCACTTTTTGGTCAAGGTATATAAGAGTGGTGAAAAATAAACTCATGGCATTTCAGTATTGACTGATATGCCTTCCTGACTTTTATTCTGTGTCTCTGTCTTTCTTTATTATCTTTCCCTCATCCACACTCCCCCACTCAGGTACAGACTTGGGGCCGCTTGGCTTGCTCCGATTGCAACCCCGCAAAGGCCACTCCTGACACTGGAGTAGACTGACAACTGTTCTTCTTACTAGTATTATATAATAACACAACATTAATGGTTCCCCCTCCCCCCAGATGCCATGCAGTGCTGTAATCACCCAACTGGTAGTTTCTGCTAACCTCCCACTATAACCAAACGGTTTTCAGTTTAATTCTGTCCCTAACTTCCTCTAACTGGATCTCTGTGGGTGATGTTATCCAAAACCACAAACTTTCTACTTTCCCTCTCCCTTTGAGAGCACAGTTCCTTAAAGTTTGAACTTAACATAACTTTCTTTAAGCAAACGAAACTGAGAAAAGCCTTGGGTCATTTGAGAGTGCAAGCACTCAGGTTTGGTGTGCAGTCTCTCCTGCGGTGTGCTCAGGGAGATGTCAAAAAAATGAAGCAGGCTAGAAAGGCAATCGCCAAGGACAGCTTTCCTGGAGCCTACCTGTGTGTTCAACCACTGAGACTGTGCTAGTTTTTTGTTACAGTGGCATAGTCTGCCCTATCCTGGAGGATACACACAGTCCCTCTCTAGTTCTGTTCCCACTGATCAACCTCTTGGCAACAGCTCAAGCCTGCTCACATGGCTCTTACACCAGTAAGTCACATTCACAAATGAGTTGATGACAGTCATTGTTGAAGACTAAGTCTAGAGGGTGTTCCACACCCTCACTGGACCAGCCTGCTCTACATAATGAGTTCCAGGACAGCTGGGGTTATGCAGAGAGATCCTGTATCAAAAATAAATACCACCCCCCCCCCAGCAAACAGCATAGTAATATCAACATAGGTTTAAGTCAAAGTTATTACAGGCATGGTCAGAGAGGTAATACTCTACCAGAGTGCTTGCCTAACACCTAAGAAGCCCCAAATTCAAACCTTAGGACCACCCCCAAAGCTTATTTCATAATCACAGAATAACAGAACTTAAAGACTTGAATGTTAAAGCCACAGCTAGCCTCCAACACACACACACACACACACACACACACACACACACACACACACCCTTCGGCTTTTTTCTTCTGAGACAGGGTTTCCCTGTGTATCCTTGGCTGTCCTGGAACTCACTCTGTAGACAGGGACTTGGGAAGAAGTTAAGGATGTAGGTGTGGATTCAGATGTAATCTCCACACACTTGAAAACTGAACTAAAATATGAAATGAATTTGAGACAAACTGTAGAGAAGGGAAGAATTAATCTTAGAAATACGTATATCTGGAGGACAGAAAGAGGAGGACACAAAAAGAACTGGAAGTATGACAACCCCATTCATCCCGACAGCTAAGAATATCAGGGCTTCATTAATAAGGCCATTTACACTTAAATGTCAAGATTTTTAATGAGGAGGGAAAAAGCACAGCTCCTTAACAACCCATTTACTCACTCCAGTATTAAAATAGATTACCCATCTAACAGGCAGCTGGGCATTATCTGTAATAAAAAGCAAAATGATTTTTTAATTCAGTGTCTGAGAACCAATTCATCACGATTCAAAATACAAAATGAACTTTTCGAATAAGTTATGATTTTCTCTGCACTGTGGTCAGTCTTCACTCATGACGCAAACATCTACACACCTGGTGTACTGTGGGAATGACCATTGTTTGTGTGGTGACTACCTTATTCCTACACCATTTCACACGAGACTCCTTCTGCAAGCATGCCTTCTGCAAGCATGCTGTGACGAAGCTCCCACTTCCTAAACGCTGCTGTGTAGGGCATACCGTGGATCCTGGTTTGTTCTCCCTGGACCTGCAATGATCTGGGTACTTACATGGTGGTGGCTAACATCATCAACTTGACGGGATCTAGAGTCACCTACGAGATAAATCTTTAAGCAGGTTTGTGAGATTGAACTAGCTCAGGTAGGAAGACCCCCCCCCCCAAACGTGGGTAGTACCATCCCATAGGCTGTGGTTTCAGAATGAATTAAAAGGAGAAAGCAAGCCTGGCAGTATTCCTTGCTCTCCCTTTCTCGCCTGCTGCCTCACACTCCTGCAGCCATTCCCTCTCTGCCAAGATGGAAAATAGACCCCCTCCTCTCTCGAGTTACATTTGCTGACCTTTTCTCATAGCAACATGGAGAATAATAAATACCAGTCCCATCTCACAGCCTGAGAGTCGGACTAGCCAGTGACAAAGAGTGTGCACCAAGCCTTGACCTTAAAGTGTGATCTTCAAGCTGACATCACTCAGGAGTTCACTAGACACTCAGAATCTCAGCTCATGGCTGGATCACTCACATCCCAATTGGTTCTAAAATGGTCCCCAGCATCCTTCTCCAGGAGAAGCTGGGTGGGTGCTGTGCTATGTCAACCCCTACAAGGATTCCATTTGATGAACACTGAGGAAGATGAATTCTTCCCCTTAGCAGGGAAGGAAGGGGGGTTGCAGCATGAGGCTGACCCTGCTCTCTGGGGACTAAAGAAGGAGTCCCACAACAATTTGTTTTCCATTTAGACACTGGAGAGTACTGTGAACAGCAGGGGTAGGGGACCACTTCCAAGAGCAGCAGCTGCTGTTCCAGATGGACAAGTGCCCACACCAATCATCTTCCAGAGTGAGCTTTCCCAGGCGGGAACCTATTTTCCAGCTTGAACCCAAACATCAACAATCGAAAGGTAGATCTGGAACCTCAATGCAGGGCAGTTACTAAATCATTAATCGCGCCATCCCTCTTAAAGGTGCTTCTTTTAATTAATATTCAGGGGGGGGGGGACTAATTTGCCCGTCATTATCCAGCAGGCCCTAGGAGTGAGTGCAAATAGTTTATGGGTACCATGCACACCCCAGGTGCAGGCACTTCAGGGTGGGACATCGCCTTTGGATCCTTTTTTGCGAGCTTCGCCCTCCTGCTCCCGGCTGCAGCCATCGGCTCTATTTCTCCCCCAACCCCTCCCCCCCCCCACTTTTCCCTCTGTCTCCAGTTCAGCGGGTCTGACCCAGAGTTCCTCAGCGAATCACCTCGAACCTGCGGGTCCCCTCCGCAGCTGGGGTCTCCACCAGCATCCTGCACCGGGAGAAGAGGTGGCGCCCGGGGGGGCTCTCCCAAGTGGACTCTGACGGTGGCAGACGGCGAGTCACGTGAGAGTGTGGAGGCGGAGCGTGGCCGGCTGAGGGGGTGGAGAAAACAAAGCCCCCAGCTGTCAGCAGAGGAAAGAGGCGGACATCGCCGGAGCAGGTGAGTCAAGTACATTCAAAGCTGTACAGCCCTGGCGCACCCTAACACCCTTTGCCCTGGGTTGATCCCTCCCAGGCCAGGCGTTGGCCGCGCCTCCCCCCACCCACGCCCGGGTCTGCTGTCTGCAGATCCCCGAGCAAGCGGATCCCGGGGTCTCCGAGCCCATCAAGAAGTTACCCAGCGAGGGGTGTGCACGCAGTCGTGTTCTTACGGGTCACCCCTCTCTTGAGGGGTGGGGGCTAGAGCGATATACCCCGAGAAAAGGAGGGGAGTCAGAGCTGCCACGCTGGCAGACACAAAGTGAACAGTGAAGGCTGGGGGCACTTAAGAGAGGGGGCTTGTAGGTGCGCGCCCTCGGAGCTCGACCCCTCCTGCTGGAGGACTGGGGTGCTCCTAGAAGCTGCGCACTTTGGGGAAGACCGAGAAGTGTGCGGCGCGCGCCCACAGTCTGGAGTATATCCCCTGATCCCCAAGCTCGGCTGCCGTCCCTGGTGCGTCCTGTCCGGAGACGAGGGTCGCACGGCTGGGACCGATCACTCCTGGATCTCGGACTTGGGAGCCGGGTGTGTGGTCAGGAAAATGGTTTGCTAGTCTGCGCCTGGGAGGTTCGGCAGGAAGCACCCACAGAGAGAGAGGAGGGCTACTCTGGTTTGGAGGGGCGTTCTTCAGCCCACCTCCAAGTGCTGAGCCAAAGCCAAAAGTGATGCCACAAAGGCCCAGAAAGCGGAGTGGGTTCCAAAAGACCCTCCTCTCTGAACCTGCGCCTCAGGCAACGAGGACTTGGAACCAGACAGAGCGAGAGGGTCTGGTCACCCTTTGAGTCATTTTGTCAAGCCAGTGTCAAAGGCGCAGCTGCAGCCTGGGAGGGCTGGAGCTGCCTTTGGGCCTTTGTCTTAACCTCCAGGCCCCTTCTGCTAGTCCTCGCTGGGCCAGTGGCGCCTGAGTAATCAATATTCCTAACATCAACTGTCCCTTCACCTCAGCACCAGGAGACCCTGCTGTCTCTCGTTCCACTCCCTACCCCCAGCGGGTATACACTACTTCCTCTTGCCCAATCCTTTCCTGGAAAAGAAAAATAAATAAAAGTGATCCGGACCCACTAGGCAATAAGATGACTGCCAAAAGCACTACAGGTGGGTCAATGCAAAAATCAGGGGTTAAGTAAAAACGCCTTCATCCGCGCGTGCCTACGCGCAAGGAGTGTAGGAGACGCAAGAACTTTCTTGATTAGCATAAGTATCTGCCCGGCTGCAAGGCGGAGGCACTGCCCTAGCTTAGGTACAAGAGAAGTCCAGTCTTGAGTGAGGTCTGAGCCAGGACCTGCTTCTAATCTGAGAGGACCGCGGGGGTGCGACTTGGTGGAACAGGACGCTAGGATGAAACAGAGCAGAAAGGTAATGTGGGTTCTTCTCATGGACTTCAGGCAAAGTGCTGGCGGTGGCGGGAAGTGCTGGCCCTGGCAGCGACCCCTCTTGGTAACACCTCGTTTTGCTGTCACTTTTGTCTCCCAAGCTAAGGCGTCAGTCAGTTGGGAAAGTGCCATGTGTCGTTGATCTCTGAAACAGGGTAGTTTTTAGGTAAGCTTCCTTTGCGCGAGTTCTGATTTCCAAACTTGTCTTCATCATGGAATCACCTGTGGAGGTTTGGGAATTCCTGGTAACTACATCCCATACTAAGTCGTTTAAGTCAGCTTGCTGGCTGGGAGGGGCGAGCACTCAGCATTATTGGAATTAAACAAAAGTCCCAGGTGTCCCACTGTATAGCAGGTTGAGAACCACTTTGGTAACAGCAGCATGGTTGTGTTACAAGACGCCACTTCAACTACTCGAGTGGGTGAGAGGACACTGAAACTGGGTGTACAGTGACTCACACCACTGGGCAGGTTGGAGACCTGGCAGGTTGTGACATCTCCCTACAACAATATTTCCCCCTTCCCCGCCTGGGATATTGCTGGATATTTGGAAGTTCACTGTCCATGCCTAGTGTGTGCACTGTTGTTAGAGAAGACAGAAACTGTCATTCTGGCCATGACGCACGTGGAGTAGGCAGCAGGGAAACCCAGCAGAAATAAACCTTGAGCAGCCGGTGAGTCAGCAGGCTGCGCTCCAATGCCTGCCCTGTGAATAGGAAGTAATTATGGCGTGTCGTTATTGACACGCACACACGCCACTCCTTTGAAAGCACATCTTAATATCTGATCAGGATGTTTGCCTGCCAGAGCCTCCTCCCTCTTCTGCTCTCTATCCTACCTGCTTTGGATAATACTAGCTGCTAATAGCAGGGAAACTGGAGCCAACTAGACAGGCTGTCCTTTCCTTTGTAGGAGGCATATGTTAAAAGGCTCCCGGGAAAGTGTAAAGCAGTTTGGGCTGTCTAGTTATGGTGCAGGCCTTTAACCCCCCCAAACTCTGGAGACAGAGGCCTCTGTGAGTTTGAGGCCAGCCAGGGCTACACAGAGAAACCCTATCTGGAAAAGCAAACAAAGAGAAAGAGAGGAGAAATTTGCAGTATGTACATTTTTTATTTTTTTTTAAAGGCCACACTATTTGATGCATTCAGGGGTAAATTCAAGGAGCTGTTTAAAAAGAAATAGCTGTACCTGACATTTCATATGAAATTCTGTTTGCTATTGACCATACGTTTGTGCATGTCCCGTGTGTGTGTATGTGTGTGTGTGTGTGTGTGTGTGTGTGTGTGTGTGCTTCACTTGAACACCTCTGCATACTGGGGATTGAGCCTTGAGTCTCGTGTGCTAGGCAAGTGCATGCATCCCAAGCTCACAGGCATTTAACTTAAAAAGATCAGACTCAGAAAGTCAAAAAAAAAAAAAAAAGACAAGTTTTCCTCTCATACACAAATCTTAGACTTTAATTATTATGTGCATTTACATTTGGGGCGCATGAAACTAGAAAGGTGACCATGAGAGAGAAAGAGAATGTCTTAAGAAAGGAAGGGAAAAATGTAATAGGCTACATGGAACATGAAGTCAGGAGGGTTTTCTGGGGGTGTAGAGGGCATTGCAGGAGGGGAAGAAGGGAGATAGGATAGGAGGACCAAAAAATGAAGTATGTATGAAAATGCCATCATGACACCCACTATTTTGTACACTAACTTTAATTTAAAAAAAAAAGCTAGATGCTAATTTTTTAAAGATGGCAAAACAAAAATCATGAGCCAGGCTCACATCTGTAATCCCAGCACTCTAGAAACTGAGGCAGGAGGATTGCTATGGAGTTTGAGACAAGCCTAGGGTTTAGAGTGAGGGCCTGTCTATAAATAAATAAGAACTGGTACCCAAAGGACAACTCTCAGATGTTTTATTGAAATACACTTAATTTCCCTCCCTTTTGTTGCTTATTGTCCTTGTACCCCTTATGTCACCATCACTCATTATGCCATTGGCCAAATGCATGCACTCGGTACTGTCAGACTCTGCACTTCACGTAAACCTGTGTTATAGTAGCTGTGTGTACACTGCTTGGA